CATATCTAACTGGGTGTCCTGTGGCATTTTTCAAATTCTTTTTTTTTAATTGTGCAGAGAACATTTGAGAAGAGATCTATCCTCTTAATAAAACTTTCTGTGTATACAATATGTTATTATTGACTTGTGTCTTGTGTTTCTATTTGCTGAATCCGGTGACCCTAGTAATGTCAGGATCTGAACTCAGGTCTTGTGACTCTACATCTACTGTTCTTTCACCTGTGATCTTCCCTCTAGGTGATTTCACAAACTAACCAACCACATGAGTACATTTGGAATTAAGTTTCATAGTGAATTTTTAAATACTTTATTGATGCCCTAGACATCTGGAGAATTTCCCTGCAGGAAAAATACAGAATCTCATTTTCTTGCCTCTCTTTGCACCCACTAGAGCATTCTTCTGGACAGTTGTTGAGTTAAGCAATACTGAAGATTCTCTTCATTGTTGAAAGATGAAGTCAACAGCATTCTAGGTGTAGCCTTTAGAGCAGCTCTGTGGTGTTTGAAATGCCCTGCATTCGGCTTAGAAAGGACACAGAAATCTCCAAACTGGAAATATATCACTTTAACAGGATTCACCAAAACAATGTTATTATTGTTAATTATGGTTTTAGTCAAGACGATGTATGCAATTGACAAAGTGCACGGATATACACCATTCTATTTGATCCTCACAATAACTCTATGGGGATAACTTTTATTTATTTTTGTGTGGAAATTAAAGTTGTACTATAAAATAAAATGTAAATCGGTGCAACCATTGTGGAAAACTTTTGAGAAGTTCCTCAAAAAATTAAAAATAGAATTACCATATGATCCAGTAATTCTGCTGCTGGGTTTTTAAAGAAATGAAAACACTAATTCGAAAAGATACTTGCACCTCTATGTGTACTGCAGCATTATTTACAATAGCCATGATATGGAAGCAACCTAACTGTCCATTGATAGTTGGAGAAAGAAGATGTGGTACACACACACACACACACACACACACACACACACACACACGTGCATATACACAATGGAATACTACTCGGCATAAAAGAGAATGATAACTTGCTATTTAGGACAGAATATACCTAGAGGATATTATATACAAGTGAAATAAGTCAGAGAAAGACAAATACCATATGATTTCAATTATGTATGGAATCTAATAAACAGGACAAATGAATAAACAAACAAATTGACTCATAAATAGAGAACGAACTGGTAGTTGTTGGGGGGGAATGGGTAAAATAGGTGAAATTGGATTAAGTAATACAAAGTTCTGGGGTGCCTGAGTGGAGCAGTCAGTCAGTTAAGCATCCCGCTCTTGGTTTCGGCTCAGGTCACCATCTCAGGGTCGTGAGATCGAGCCAGTGTCGGACTCAGTGCTCAGTGTGGAGTCAGCTTGAGCTTCTCTCTCTCCCTCTGCCCCTCCCACCTGCACTTGGACTCTCTTTCTCTCAACAAATATTTTAAAAAAATATGAACTTCTAATTCTAAAATAAACAGGTCATGGAGATGAAAAGTAAAGCATAGAGAATATACTCAGTAATATTCTAATAATGGTGTATGGTGACAGATAGTGACTATACTTATCATGGTTAACATTGCATAATGAATAGAACTGTCAAATCACTATTTTGGGCACCTGAAACTAATATAACACTGTATGTCCACTTCAATAGTAAAACAATTTTAAAAAGAACTCAGTAGTTCAACATCCCTGCAGGAATTTAAAGCAAAAGAGTAAGTCAACTGTATAGACACCATCTATAGACACCTAGGATCAGGAGAATTATAGCTGGATTTCCTGGCCTTGGAAATTTCTTGTTGATGCCAAGTCCCCAAAGCCTACTAATTCCTATTGCACAAACAGAAGTAAAAAGTATCACTCTAAAATTAAACCTCCCGGGGCACCTGGGTGGCTGAGTGGGTTAAGCCTCTCTGCCTTCTCTCAGGTCATGATCTCAGGGTCCAGGGATCGAGCCCCAAATCAGGTTCTCTGCTCAGTAGGGAGTCTGCTTTCCCCGCCCCCTACTTGCCTCTTTGCCTACATGTGATCTCTCTCACTCTCTGTCAAATAAATAAAAATAAAATCTTTTAAAAAAAATAAAATCTTTTAAAAAAAATAAAATTAAATTAAACCTCCCATAATGTAAGAGGAAACACATGGTCCTTTTATCTTTCCCAAATGTGAAGAATATAGTAGGTGGTCTGATCCTGGTTTCAGAGAACTGGAGAGCACTAAGAAAGGGCTGAGCTTTTCAAAGGAAAGAGCTGTGCTCAGCTTTTCTGTCAATGTGACATCAGCCTCCTGGGCCCACATAGCCCCTAGCCCTCTTATTTCTTAAATAATGTCCTTCTATCTAATGACTGCAGTCCCAGACCCTGATGGTTCAGATAAACAATGTGTCAAGTCTTGGCTGCGGTATCTCTTGTTGGTGGGAAGGTCAGAAAGTCCTTTAAAAAATCCGAGAGACACAAAAATATGAACAGGCATGAATTTAGAAAGGACTACAAGATAAAACTCGTCATCACAAACACAAATGCCTTCCACAGCTTATACCTAAGGAGCTTCTGTAGGGTTTTCCCTCAATCCCCCTCTTCTTCTACTAGTGTATATTCAGTCTTCATTGTCTCCATGCCTCTGTGCATGCTGTTCCCTCTGTTCTTTTTCACCTCTGGTGGAAAACTCAGTCATCTTGGGGAACATTTAAGCTTCTGTAAAATATCTTCCAACAACTCTGGAAATTCAGTCACTTCCTCATCTGTGCTTGTATAAGCCCTTATTCATGCCTCTATTATAATACCTATTGCATCATATTGTAATTATGTGTTAAACTTGAGAGCAGAGATCATGTCTCAATCATCTAGTGCTTAACATAGCTTTTAGCTGATAGTAGATATGCAATGCATTTTTTCAACAAGTGAACACTGTTTAAATTGTTTGCTTTATTATTTTTTTTAATTGTTTGCTTTATTTTTCTGAAAAACGAGTTTAATACTGTGGTTGTCTTTAATAGACAAATTTATTCTTATTTACTTGCAGTAGGAGGAACACAGTAAAAGTACTAATTGCATTACTCCTGGAATGCTGTCTATTATGTCAAACTTACCCAAAGAAGTAGGAAAAATTTACAAATTAAAATATTAAACGTGGCATTCTAATAACAATGAAAATGTGGTTATAAAATCATTTGCATTTTCAAGTCTCCCTCCTCTCAACAGTACATAACCAAAAAGTGGTACACAAACATCACATGTAGACTTGGCATCAGAATAGATCTTCAAAAAGACCAAAATCATGGATTTCTTACAGTCAAAAGGGATCTCTTGGTTGCCTATTCAACCCTCTGCTATGTATGAATCTCTATACTGACAAATGCTCATGTAGCTTCTACTTGAACAATTGCGGTGTGGGGGAACTCACTACTTAAGAAGGTATTTGGTTCCCTCTTTTATTTTTTTTCAAGTAGGCTGCATACCCAGCGTGGAGTTCAATGCGGGGCTTGAACTCATGACCCTGAGATCAAGACCTGAGCTGAGATCAGGGGTTAAGATGCTTAACCAACTGAGCCACCTAGGTGCCCCTTGATTCCTTATTTTAAAATTAAAATGTCCAAGTTCACCTCAAATCTGCCTTCTTGTAATCTTTAACCATTGAATTCAGTCCTTCCTTCCTTAAACCACAGTGAATATTACTTCCTTGTGATCGCGCCATCAAAAATTAAAAGCAGCTATCTATGGTCACCCCAAGTCTTTTCCAGACTTTTCCAGTTTCATTCAACTGCTTCTCATATTTCAGGTCTTCTGACTTTTCAGCAACCTGGTTCATGTCCTCTAGTCACGTTGCAGTTTGCCTGTAGCACTTCTAAAATGGAGTCTGGACACACATTCCAGGTGAGGTTTGTCCAGCGAAGAGGATTAATACATATTGCTCATTCTAGACTCCGTACAGTTACTGTCCCAACTTGGAGAGGCTTGTGCCTGATGTAGAGTCAAACCTTGGCAATGGTTAACAGGAAAGGGGATAACCTGCAGCCTTGATAGGACCAGAGCTAAGAAAACATATCTAATGCTGGGACATTAGTCGGAAAGCAAGCCGCCTAAGTGAACCCTGGATACACCCAGGGCGTTCAAGGGGTTTTGAACTGATAGTTGGGGACCCGGCTGTAGCAATATTTGAGGTCAGACAGGTGGCATTACTATGCCTCTGTTAGATTTTGGAGCAGCCATAAACAACAGGGAAACCTGAGAGTCAAGACCCAAACCCTGGACAAAGAGGCTGCAAAAGGCTAGGCTAATTAAAGACTAGAATGCAAAGAAGAGCTACATTTCTAGGGGGAAACTGAGATAGCAAGAATCAGAATGGCTCTAAAGTCATAAAGACCTTTGTTGAATTCCATCTTCTCCACTTTCCAATCCTTAGTTTCCTCATGTGAGAGTTGGGTTAATAACAGTATTTACTTTAAAGGATGGCTGTGAAGACTTCATGGGATGATATATATGAAGTCTGGCAGATAGTGCTTAGCAAGTGTTTTCCTTGCAAATTAAAATGCATAAGTGAAATTTAAGTTAAATGAATTTTAAAGTAATTTCATGTTTAAAGCTTTAAAATTAATTACATACCAAGCATTTTCTAAAAAAATTTTTTAACACTTCCTTTAAGAAAATCACTATGTCTATTTTTATTTTGAAAGATGACCAGAAATAATATGGATTGATTGAAAATGGCTTATAAACTAAGAATAACATAATGTGATTCTTTATAATCCTCACAATAATTATAACAATAGTGTGGTTATAACCAATACACTTATTTCCAGATTTTACTTTCAAACAATAACTTTACTATAAATCTTTGAAATCAGTCATTCTTAGAATGCAAATTCATTAATCCAGTCAGAATTATAATTCAATATTTGTTAGAAATCTTTGCATAAACCCTTTTTTCAGGCCCACGTTGTTTTCTTTGTAATATCCAATTATTTAATATTTAAGAGCACCGCCCAATGGAGGTGTGTGTGTGTGACTTTGAACCTATAGTTATAATCCAGAGAATTGGCAGTGACATCATCTGTGACAAGAAAAAAAGCTTCTCTTGGTGAGTGGAAGACCTATATATAAAAGTCACACCTGAGGGTCTACAGTCCAATTCATCAGCTTTCACAAGCTGACAACTTCAAGAAAGCATCAGCTGTCAATACACCTGAAAGATCTTGTCACAAGACATAGTGTGGTGAGTAATCTTTAGTTTCTCTTTTCAATTTCATTTGAGATTTTTTTGAGATTTTTTTCATAATTGAGCACTTATATAATATGTACTATTTTCTATAAAAATGCTCTTTGTCCAAGGGAAAATATTAAGGGACAGTTTGAATTCTTTTAACATGTAATGCCACATTACAAAATGAATGTATTCTGCTAAAATGCTCTTAAGTCATTCAAGTCTTTCAAGATGCCTTGCTTTTTCTAAATTCATCTGAAATTACACAAAAATAATTAAAATTTGGCATGATATACTTTAATGATATCTCACTGAAATTTTGAAATAAAATAGCCTAGAGAGGAGTGAGTAATTCTGATTTAAATAACCAATATAAATGTATTGTTGTGTTAAAATTCATTTTTCCTGCAGAATATCCTTATCTAGACTGTTTTATGACTCATGGAAATCTCAAATCTGTGCATTGTAGTTGGGGAAATTCAGTTTTACTGGTAGATAATGTCTTTACATAAAATCTTTCCAAATTTGCTATTCTGAAAGACTATACATGAATTTTAAGGGTGTTTTATAACTGTTCCTTTGCTTTTTCATGGCACTCTTATATGAAGCTCTTCCCTCTGTTAAGAACAAGGAAGCCAAGGAGAGATGTCTTAAGTCATTAGGTGAATGTGACAAAGTAGGGCTAGATATGAATGCTCCTATCCTCTAGCTACAGTGCCTCTTCCTACATAAGCCACTGAAGAATCTTCATTTGTTGCTCCATCAGGAGCTTTATATTGCAGAATGAAAATAAATGTAGTAGATTATAATGTTTCTTATGCGACTTCCCTTTAAAATATGAGTACACAGCCATCCTGTGTATGTTAACATGGAGAACATTTTCTTAACAAGCGTTAAGAAAAAGCACTTCTGTAATAATAGGCTTTGCAATTACTGAAATGCAGATTAAGGTAAGACTATTCTATTTAGAGATGAAAAGCTTTATGAGCAAAAGAGGAAAGTGCTAACAATTAAACTCTAACAAGATTGCTAATAAAATGAGCTGAAAAAGAGGGATGCTAGAGTGCCTCAGTTGGTTAAGCAGCTGCCTTTGGCTCAGGTCATGATCCCAGGGTCCTGGAATCGAGTCCTGCATCGGTCTCCCTGCTCGGTGGGGAGCCTGCTTCTTCCTCTCCCTCTGCCACTCCTCTGCTTGTGCTCTCTCTCTCTTTCTGATAAATAAATAAATAAAATCTAGGAAAAAAAGCTGAAAAAGATAGACAGCATTCCATATGGAGCCAAGGTTCTAAATCCATAAACAAGTAATTAATTAGATGATTTTAAAATACACCCACACCTTCTTTTTAATGACAGAAGTATACATTAATTCATTAAAAATCTCAAAATCAGAGCCTATTAAGTTGGTATTTATGGTTATTATTGCAGTACCTGAAATGAAGTTGACTTATGAAAAAAGAAATTTGCTAAGTAAATAAACAATGTTAGCAATGTATCTGGTCAAAAGAATTAGCCATTTTTCGGGGTGCCTGGTTGGCTCAGTCAGTTAAGCACCTGACTTTAGCTTCCAAGGTCCTGGGACCAAGCCCTGGTCGGGCTCCCTGCCCAGGGGAGAGTTTGCTTCTCGCTCTCCCTCTGCCCCTGCCCCCACTTGTACTCTCTATCAAATTAATAAATAAAATCTTTAAAAAGAGAGAGAGCAAGAGCATTTTCAAGTAAATTATAAGCACTTAATCATAACCAACATAAAATGTGGGAGGAAATTCTAAAAAGGAAGACTTCATTCCTCATGTGGCTTAAAATTCATATATTAAAACTTGCACAAAACTCTCAAAAAGATACTTAAGAAAGTAAAACTCATCTAATTTCTAAGTCAAATTATGTGTATATATAATATATACTAATGTATCTGTAAAATAAAAGAGACCGATTCTAAAAAGTCTTTCGTGAAAACCGATTCAATTAGTTGTTGTAACACTCTGCACAGTTGTATGGTTGTAATGATAACTAACTATAAATTTAATTGTACTGTTTGGCATGTTAAAAATATTTTTAAATACTTCCATTTCCCTTTTCCTTTTAGTGAAGATGATGTCTACAAAAGACATGGTTAAAGTAATGATTGTCATGTTTGCAATTTGTTTTCTTGCAAAATCGGATGGGAAACCTGTTAAGTAAGTATTGTAATCTCTTCTGCATGGTGAGGGCATGGGAATTGGATTTCTGAGGTTGGCTTTATGATCAGGAAGGGGAGAGCTAATGGAGTGGTCCTCCCTGTTTCTGTTCCCTCCAGGAAGAGATCTGTGAGTGAGATACAGTTCATGCATAACCTGGGCAAACACCTGAGCTCCATGGAGAGGGTGGAATGGCTGCGGAAGAAGCTGCAGGATGTGCACAACTTTGTTGCCCTTGGAGCTCCAATAGTGCACAGAGATACTGGGTCCCAGAGACCCCGGAAAAAGGAAGACAACGTCCTGGTTGAGAACAATCAAAAAAGTCTTGGAGAAGCAGACAAAGCTGATGTGGATGTGTTAACTAAAGCTAAATCCCAGTGACTACGGATATACCAGAGCACTGCTGTAAACAGCATAGGGCAACAATATTACATGCTGCTAACATTTTCAAGCTCTTAAGCTTAATAAACATCAAAATTTACATCTAATCCATTGCTAGCCATGATGGCTGAAATTTAATTGATTATTTTGATTCTACTTTAATTCATTTAAAAGCTCTTTTATTCTGTTTCTATTGTTTATTCTTTTTAAAGTATGTTTTTGCATAATTTATAAAAGAATAAAATTGCACTTTTTAACCTCTCTCCCATCTTATGATGCAAAATAAAAATTTAATGATCACAATTTTAAATAAATGAAGCTGAGTATTTCTCTCTCTCTCTCTCTGGCGTTATGAGTAATACCAAAATGTTTAAATTGATCTTGGGTAGGAAGAATAATGCAAGATGTTTTTTCAACCATGTGTCTCACTCCCATATTTGAACATCATCCTTTTAATATTACCAAAGTGCTAGGTTCCCAGATCCCCACTACCTGGATACTATTGTCCTCTTCATTTCAGGAGAAGAAATGCTCAACAAGGAAAGGCAGAAAGTCGTCTGAAACTTGAAAAAGCATTTGTCTATACACTAGTCTAGATCCCAAATTGCAAAGAACAGAAGTTTTGCATTTATTAGAATATAATTTCATTCACTTGTTATTTGACAAGTGTCAATTTAGTGTCCATTATTTGTCATGTACTGAATTAGACACTGGACATACACCAGTAAGCAAAATGGACACAATTCCTATCTTAATGGGGCCTACAATTTAGTAGGAAAGACAGACCCTAATTCATTATTAGCTTTGATAAGCACTATGAAAGAAAAGTACAAGATACTCCAGAAGTGTATAACACAGAGCGCTGTTCTATTTAGATCAATGCTGTCCAACAGAATTTTCTGTGATGCTGGGAATGTTCTATATTCTGTGCTGTCCAATTCAATGTCTCCATTTGCAATGAAAATGTGCCTTGTATGGGCCCCTGGCTGTCTCAGTCAGTAGACCACATGACTCTTGATCTCGGGGTTATGAGTTTGAGCACAACATTGGGTATACAGATTACTAATAAAAAAAAATAAATATACTTTAAAAAGTGTTCAAAAAAATAAAATATGTCTTGTGTCACTGAGGACTAAGATCCCATCCTGGCCTCAAAGAATTCATGTTTGAATGAGGAAGGCAGAGATCTAAGCAAGTACTTACAATATTACATGTGAAATGCAAAACAATGATACACAGAGAAGGGAACAGATCTTACTGATGTAGGGAATAATTGAGATGTGACTGAAATGGTAAGCAAATTTTGCAAAATGTAGAAGAATATTAACAAATGTTGGGCATCCTGGTGGAATCAACAAGGCTTTGGTTTAAAAGCAGAGAACAAAATCTACAGTTTAAATCGGAAGGGATTTGGGGCGCCTGGATGGCTCAGTGTGTGAAGCCTCTGCCTTCGGCTCAGGTCATGATCTCAGGGTCCTGAGATCTAGCCTCATATTGGGCTCTCTGCTCAGCAGGGAGCCTGCTTCCCCTTCTCTCTGCCTATTTGTGATCTCTGTCTGCCAAATAAATAAAATCTTAAAAAAAAATAAATAGGAAGGGATTCGTAACAAAATCATTGAGAAGGCTGATGAAAATAGACTCTTCGTTAAACTTGGAGGAAAAACTCACAAAGTTATCAAGAGAGTTGTTCTCTTCTAATGTCAGTAGTTGAATGATACTATCCTGAGACTGCCCTGATCAGGAGGCAGCTGCTTCTACTGCTATTCCAGAAACAAGCTGTACCTGCTATGACCAACCCCACTAAAAACAGATGTCAAACACTTCATTTCTTGATATCTAGTGTGCCTTGCTGCTGGGATCTGCTAGCACTAGCAGAACAAAATCTAACCCCTCCACAACATTGCTTGCCAGCAGAAAGGGAGAAGTAACAGAATCACCTTACTTAAGCCTGCCCAATCTCACAGGAGTGCATATGATCGGCTGAATCTAAACCTCTTCTGGAACCTCAGCTGCAGAGGGGTCTGGGTAATGTAGTTTTTAGTTTTCCAGCCTACTAATACAAAAACAAGCACTAAAAGGTGGTGTGGACAGTGCCTCCAGTCCCTTGGTAGTGTCAATCCTCAATGAATATTCTTTTTTTTTTCTTTTTTAAGTAGGCTCCATGCCCAGTATGGAGCCCAAGGTAGGGCTCGAAATCACAACCCTGTGATCAAGACCTGAGCTGAGATCAAGAGTCAGTTGCTTTACCAACTGAGGTACCCAGGCACCCCCTCAATGACTCTTCTTGATTTTTGTCCCCTGATGGAACTGTGTGAGAATTTCCGTGGGATATTTACCCAGGGGTGGAATCCTGATACATAAACAAGCTTTTCAAGACTGCTTATGAATCACATGTGTAGTTTCTATTCCCACTAGAAGAACAAGGCATTTCTGCCTATTTCCACCTGCAATTGGAAGTATATACATTTATAAAAAGGTTTGTCACATTGATGGTAAATGATAACTTACTGTTTTAATTTGCCTACCTCTGATTAGTACTGAGATTGAACTTTTCTCTGTATTTTGGCCACTTGGGCATCCCTGCCTGTGAACTTATATTTTTAATATTTTTGCTAATTTTTAATTTGTTTTCTGGCCCTATTAATGTTGAGTTCCTTGCAGATTCTAATACAAATTCCTTGTTGCTTTTCAATGTCACAGATATTTTCTCCCAGTGTATCATGTATTTACTAACTCCATGCTTAATTTTGATGCACACAAATACATCAATTTTTCACCTAGTGTTTGTGTTTTGGAGTGTTACTGAAGAAGTCTTTCCCCAATCCTACGTCACAAAGTTATCTCTTATATCTGCTTTAGAGTTTTACCTTTCACTTTTAAGTATTTATTGTTCTGGAGTCTAATTTTTTGTATGACAACATGTTATGTAGGAACTTTATTATTTTTAAATATGGACAGTGCTCCAAATAACATCTTTAAACAATTTTTTAAATGATTTTATTTTATTTGAGAGAGAGAGCACAAGTAGGTGGAGGAGCAGAGGGAGAAGGAGCAGCAGGCTCCCCACTGAGCAGGGAGCCCGGTGCCAGGCTTGATGCCAGGACCCTGGGACCAGAACCTGAGCTGAAGGCAGATGCTTAACTGACGGAGCCACCCAGGCATCCCTATCAAATGATTTTTTATTTCCCCATAGCTTTGTAGATAATTTTAAAGATCATATCTTAAGTTCCCATGCAAATACAGGTTTGTTTATCACTTTTAGGGAGTGAAAAATTGCTTTACTCTGCTCTTTGAATCAATTTTTAGTCCCTGAAAGGTCAGTATCAGATAGGGGCGCACAAGTAACTCTTCCATGACTTTCTCCCATTGATTAATTTAATCCTTGGATAATGTGTCCCTTTGAATGTCTCTAGCACTGTCATTCTCCTTCCCACGTGGCCAATACACAGGAAACCTTTCTTCCCAAGCCTTCAGGGATTGGACCTGTGAGTATCCAACACAGACTACACAGAACTTGACAGAAACAAGATCTTGGTTCCATTTTGAAGCAGCCGTTCATGGAGGTGGCCCCTCCAAGGACATGCTGAAGGAAGAAAAAACCTGCCCATAGACTGGGCCTGTTGGGTCTAGTTCAACTTCATCCCAAGCAGAGCCCAATATTTAGAATAGTCAGGTTCTAAAATCAATGATTAATTTTGCAATTCTTATCCTAAAGTTTCCTTTTTGGTAAAACCAATTGGATAGTTTCCTCAACCATGTAAACTCCTGGTACTATTAGAAGAGTTCAAGAGTGTATGATTTATCAGTTTCATTCCATATGCTCTCCTTTTTGGACAAAGATCACATCTCCTTGAGAGGACTATGGCCAGATTGCAACATCTGTAGCTTCCCTGGCACAGATCTTCATGGGTTGTACATTCTCACAGTCTCTTAGGATCCCAGGACAGAAAAATGAAGAGGTTCTGGGGAAGATATATTTATGAAGGTGTGTACCTGGAAACCACAAGTGGCATTGAAAAATGAAATGTCTTTCAGGTTGCAGTCCAGGAAAATCTCCACCTCTGCAAGTTTGGGTTCATGTGGAGAATGTTCTCAGTGTCTGTGTTGACAGTGACTTCATGTCCCTGCTTGAGGCTCACAACCCAGAACCACAGCAAACATCCACAGCCCATTCCAGTGTTTCTCCAACTTCTATGCCCTATAGTGGCAGCCAGAGGTGAAGCAGGAGGACCCCAGGACACAAAAAAATAGAGATGAGTGTTTTGGCACTCTCTGGTGGTCTCATCTGTATCTACCCACCTCCATGCTCTGCATGTCATTATGAGAAAATGAGCAAGTCATTGGTAGTGGCTAGATCCAGAATCATATTCACAGAGAATCTCACATCCAGCACTACCTCCTTATCAAAGACATCATCACTTTGATTTCAGCCACCCATTTCCTCAGGGCCATGTTAGTCTGGATTCTCTGGATCCAAGAGATGTCAAGACATTGGGGACAAGTGGAAAGGTTGTCCTGATCCTCCTTCTCCAAATGCTTGAAGCAGGTGAAGTAGAAGTGTTGTTTGCAGACTGTCAAACAGGCATCTTAGAACATGGGGCATGATGATGGAACATGTTGATTCTTTTCTGAGTTTTTCATGGCTCCCATTTCAATGTGGCTGTTCTTAGTTTTGTGCTTCTCTGAGGTACTGCAACTTCTTAACTGGATTTTAGACTTCTCATAAAAATATTTTGCTCTGCCTGTCAAATTCCTCATATCAGAGAGATCATATGATAATTCTCTTTCTCTGATTGACTTACTTCGCTTAGCCTAATACCCTTTAATTCCATCCACATCATTGCAAATGGCAAGATTTCTTTTTTGATGGCTATGTAATATTCCATTGTATATATACAATGGATGTGTGTGTGTGTGTGTATACATATATACCACATCTTCTTTATCCATTCATCTTTTTTTTTTTAAATAGGTCAGTTAACCCAGTTTCTTTTTTTTTTAAACATTTTATTTATTTATTTGAGAGAGAGAGAGACAGTGAGAGAGAGCATGAGCGAGGAGAAGGTCAGAGGGAGAAGCAGACTCCCCGTGGAGCTGGGAGCCTGATGCGGGACTCGATCCCGGGACTCCAGGATCATGACCTGAGCTGAAGGCAGTCGCTTAACCAACTGAGCCACCCAGGTGCCCTCCATTCATCTTTTGATGGACATCTGGGCTCTTTCCATAGTTTGGCTATTGTGGATGTTGCTGCTATGAACATTGGGGTATGGGTGCCCCTTCGGATCACTACATTTGTGTCTTTGGGGTAAATACCCAGTAGTGCAATTGC